CCCTTTCAACTACTAGTACCCGTGAACCTCCGGGCAACCCCTAAACCCTAAACCCTAAACCCTAAACCCTAAACCTTAAACCCTAAACCCTAAACCCTAAACCCTAAACCCTAAACCCTGAGCATGTCTCAGGCTGAAGTACACCGTGCACCGCGACGAACGGCGAAGAAAAGTCAGCAAGGAGGCCTCTTCAGCTGCCTTACGTTTGAGGGTTTAGGGACTTAGGGTTGGTTTAGGGTTTAGGGTTTAAAGGGTTTAGGGTTGAGGGTTGAGGGTTGAGGGTTGAGGGTTGAGGGTTGTTGAGAGCTCTCGGTGGTACATGGGAGTCTGGCTCGGCTGCAGCCCAGTGGCAAAAAGACCTTAGGGTTTAGGGTTTAGGGTTATACGTTATAATCAACAAGCCTTAACCCAGGGGCTTAGAGCTTGTCAACGGAAATTGTGGGGGAACCCCTTGAGGTTACGCGTAACTGGAGAAGTCCAGGCCCTAAACCCGGGCTCCGAAACCCAGGCGCGTGCCCAACTTTACAACTTACAAGTACCCAAGAACGTCCATGTACCCTCAACCCTAAACCCTAAACCCTAAACCCTAAACCCTAAACCCTAAACCCTAAACCCTAAACCCTAAACCCTAAACCCTAAACCCTAAACCCTAAACCCTAAGCGCTGAGCGCTGAGCGCTGAACGCTGAACATCCTAAACCCCAAAACTTAGGTGCCGAGCAGGCATGCTTGAACCTTTCTATTTTCCGGACCCCCGTGTGACTCAAAGATAGACCTTTCCCGTCCTAAACACTAAACCCTACTTGAAGACTCATAGGTAGTTTTGGAAGTCAGCATCTGTGTCCAGCTTCCGTGCGTTTACCACAGTGTGCCTTACACTGGCCACCGAAGGCGTCTCTGCGAGACGGAGCTTGGAGCTGCCTTGCCTGAGAGAGAGAGAGAGAGAGAGAGAGAGAGAGAGAGAGAGAGAGAGAGAGTTCTAAGCAGGGCTCTAAGTGCCCTTAATTGGAAACAGGTTATCATATAGGCTGCCTTACTTCTAATATAGGTTACCTTCCTGATTCGCCTGGTCATAACCGCCCATGAATCTTCAAGTATCCCTAAACCCAGAATCCTAAACCCTAAACCCTATACCCGAAACCAAAACCTTAAACCCCAAACCAGCCAGTCATTGGGGAGGTCGCTGGCCCACCAGGCCTGCACGAGGAGCGGGGCTTGCTGGGGTTTAGGCCGTACTCTAAACAGCCAAGGTTTAGGGTTTAAGGTTTAGGGTTTAGGGTTTAGGGTTAGAATTTAGGGTTTAGGGTTTAGGGTTTAGGGTTTAGGGTTTAGGGTTTAGTGTTTAGAAAGAAGAGCCAAACAGCCAAGGTTTGAGGGAGGCGAGAAGCAGGCAGCAGAAGTGTTCTGAATGTCATAAGGTCTCGGTACGATCCTAGGTACCCCATAAGGGCGCTCCTTTCCCAGGGTTTAGGGTTTAGGGTTTAGGCTTTAGGGTTTAGGGTTTAGGGTTTAGGGTACCCGAGAGGGCACTGGAAGTGCTCTTGCACAGGAGAACCAGCCTCTGGCGCCCCAGGCCATGCCGGTGCCATCCTTCCTAGGTGCAGACAGGGTTTGGGGTTTGGGGGGTGGGGTGGGGGGTGGGGGGCTGGGGTGGTGTCCTTGCACAGGGGATTGTTCCATATTTGGGTTTACAAGCTGTGCCCCACCCACATGTTGGAATTGTGCGGATGTTGGAGTGTTTAAATGTTTCCCCCCCCCGTTCTTAACAGTTTGAGCTGGATTAAGTTAGTCATTTTACACTTCCCAGCTAAACCCTAAGCCTAAACCCTAAACCTCAAACCCGCTGCAGACTTCCTGCAGCTTCAGAAGGCAACCAAAATGATATGAGCTAGGAGTGTTATTGATGAGCATTTAGGGTTCCTTCTAAATCTTGGCGAATGCATATGCTGGGTGTCCTTGTAAAAGTTCTCATAGTAAAAGACCTACGTACTCTGTATGGGCAACATTAAGCTGTCCGAGAATTTAGGGTTTAGGGTTTGGGGTTTCGGCTCCGTGCAGATACATTCATAGGTTTCTACCTTGGTCCGCTATGGCTGTACCCTTTGGTTTGGGGATCCTGTTTAAAAAAATCATCTGAGGGAATATACGGGCCATATGAGGAGTATGTAAATGGAACCTCTTAGGGCTACATCCTCAGTATGACTCCCTTGGTACCCTAAACCCTAAACCCTAAACCCTAAACCCTAAACCCTAAACCCTAAACCCTAAACCCTAAACCCTAAACCCTAAACCCTAAACCCTAAACCGTAGACATCTTGAGCTGCTGCACTGCTGGGGCTCTTGTCGCCCGCCACTTGAGAAGCAAACGGTTCTTGTGGCCATCTTCCATCCGGGAGTCCCTTCGTGTGGTGTGGGTTTAGGGTTTAGGGTTTAGGGTTTAGGGTTTAGGGTTTAGGGTTTAGGGTTTAGGGTTTAGGGTTTAGGGTTTAGGGTTTAGGGTTTAGGGTTTAGGGTTTAGGCAGTGGTGAGGAGTCCTGCTGCAAAAAAGGGTTTAGGGTTTTAGGGTTTAGCCCCTCCCCGCCCCCTCCCCCCCCACAAGCTTTGACTGACATTGTTCTTCCCCCAAAACGGTTTGGGTTATAAGCCTGTGCTTTAGGGTTTGGGGTTTAGGGTTTAGGGTTTAGCACCCTGCGCTCAGCTTGACCCCAAATTTCGTCGTGACCAGCAAGCTTTTCCGGCTTGCTTGCCCTTAGGCCCCAAACCCTGAACCCAAAGGCTCTAGCCCTTTTAACCCTAAGCCCCTACCAAAAACCGCTATTCCCTAAGCCCAAAAGCCTGGCCACGCACAGCCACCACACCCTAAACCCAAAGGCCCCAAACCCTAAACTTTAAATTCTAATCACTGAGGTCACAGGACCTAGTTCAACCAAAGCAATACAGCATAAAGCCCCCAAGCCTCAGTTCCCACAGAACCCCAAAGCCTAAACCCTAAACCCCAAACTCTAAACCCTAAAAGGTGCCAGCGGTCCGAGCGCAAGGCAACCAGCGGACACCCGGCCTCCGCCGGGTTTGGCGCCCCCGCTTCAGAGGTTTAGGGCAAGTTTAGGGTTTGGGGTTTGGGGTTTAGGGTTTAGGGTTTCAGAGGTGTTAGCCAAAAAGGGGTTTAGGCTGCAGGATGAGCATGCCAGGCTACTATTTGCTTAAGAATCCCCCCCCCAAAAAAAATGAAGAACAAAAAGGTAGTCATCCCGATGTCGCCCTTTTTTTGGATGATGTGCTTTTGTTGTACTTTCCAATTTTTGGGGGTTGTTGGGCATTTTGTGGCAGGCGAGGGTTTCCGCAAGCACGCTGCAAAAATGTTTAGGGTTCCCTGAGCCCAGAGATTCACAAACGCACCTTAATGAAGAATATTTCCTTAGACTGGGGTTTGGGATTAGGGTTTAGGGTTTGGGTTTAAGGATGTTTAAGGTTTAGGGTCAGCATGATATCTTGATTAAATCCCTCATGAAGGGGCATAGTTGGTGCTCTGGGTTTAGGGGACTTGGTTTGAGAGGAATCCAGCGTTTAGGGGTTTCGGGGGTTAGGGTTTAAGGCCTGGATGCAAAATGGTTTAGGGTGTTGGGTTTGGGGTTTTGGGCGGTTTAGGGATTGAAGGTGCAGGTGCAGGAGCGGCTTCTCACAGGCTTTTAAGGTTCAGGGATGTAGGATTGAGCCGGATGTGAGGCGACCCCGCCACATTTCGGGGCGTGGCAGTGCGTGGTGCCAGGCTGCACGCGCGTGCTGAGCGACTGCCAGGCTGCGGCAGCATCTGAACGGCAAACACGAGAGGCTGGGTGCCGACTCCAGGAGACGTTTAAAGTGGGTCCGGGTGGGCAAAGCGTCCAGGGCCAGGCAGATGCGGCCAGGAGAGCCTAAACCTGCGCCAGGTGTGAAGGCCGAGCAGTCCAGCTGCAGGAGGGCGCACTTCCTGGCGCCGACCCAGGCGTTTAGGGTTTAGGGTTTAGGGTTTAGGGTTTTAGGGTTTAGAGGCCTGGATGCAAAAAGGGTTTAGGGTTTATAGGGTTTAGGGTGAAGCCAGCACAAGCAGCAGTGCAGCCGCGGCAGATACCTCGCGAAATGTGGGCTTTGGAGGTTTCAGCCAGGGCTCACGGTTTCGGTGTTCGGGTGTGTAGGTTGGGTATCTAGGTTTCAGGGTTTCAGGGATTAGGGGGACAGAGGCAAAGGATACAGCCGGGGCAGCAAAGCTGGGAGGCGTTCCAGTCAAGTCGGGGAGTTTCGCCCTAAACCCTAAACCCTAAACCCTAAACCCTAAACCCTAAACCCTAAACCCTAAACCCTAAACCCTAAACCCTAAACCCTAAACCCTAAACCCTAAACCCTAGACCCTAGACCCTAGACCCTAGACCCTAACCCTAAACCCTAAACCCTAAGCGCTCAACCCAAAACCCTAGCGAAACCCAAAGCTGAAAACAGAACCCGAAAGCCCAAAATGGAACCCTTGCTCAAGTAGCTCCGATCATCAAGGAAGCCCGGGCTTTAAAGTCTAGCCCTAATCCCTAGAAGCCTCAAACCCTACTGACTTTAGTCCCCTAAACTTAAACCCTAAACTCTAAACGGCCTCTTTCGCCCAGGTGCCGGGTGCCAGCTCCCGCAAACGTAAGGACGAGGTGGGGGAGTGATGAGGATGAACGCAATGGTTTGTATGTGGAGCCCGAAGCTCCCCCAAAGCCCTGTAGGGTTTAGGGTTTAGGGTTTAGGGTGTAGGGTTTCGGGTTGAGGGCAAACTGTATCTATTTTGGCCCGAGCCAACTGCCCGCTGATCTTGCACAGATTCTGTAACCGGCTGCCCCTGCATACATGCCGCGTAGTTGCGAGCGCCACAGGCGAAACCGCAGCAGGTCAGGGTCGTCGTCTCGTGGAGCATCTGGACTCAGCGAGCAGAGGTTCAAGGAGACGGAGACGCGACCCCTCTGACAAAGCTCGTCGTCCCGTGCATCTAGGATGTCCAGGTCGCGGGGGTCTGCCGAGCCATCCAACAGAGGTTCAAGGAACCGGCGACGCAGTCCCTCTGAGAACAGTGTTGGCCGAGGCCGCTGCGCAGGTGGTAAGGGAAGTTCATCAAGCCACACTCGGGAGCAGTTGAGCACCGATCGCCCACCAGCTCGGAGGGACCACTTCAACTCGTTCGATTTGGGTAAGGATCCTGGAAATGAGACCAGGACTGTGCTCCACTTCATGGAGCGAACACTGAGAAGATCCAGCAATTTGGGCATTCACTACAAGATGGAGAAGGTTCAATGCACCCTGACCGTCAAGTTCGTCGATGGCGGCTTCCGCTATGATTATCTTGACCGACCGTTCAAGAGGCAAGGCGATTGGCGGCGATAGAGTTCCTCAAGGACGATGACGTGATTGAGTCTGCGGGCTGCCTGCAGCAATCTCTGAGAGCTCACAAAAGAAAGGAGAGTGTGAGGTTGTTCAAGCTCCACGGGCCTCGGGATGACCTTCCTTTGTTCAAAAGTCAAAGAAGTGGAAGGGGTGGAAAGAAGAACAAGAGAAAGCAGGCTGGACAGGCCGGGTAGGTCATCGGCTCCTACAACGCGTGGACTGCGCAATGCCTGGCAGAAATGCAGCTATGCCGGGGAAGCATATGCTGGGTGTTCTTGGGGTTAGGGTTTAGGGTTTAGGGTTTAGGCTTGAATGCTAGAAGCATGGCTTTACGGAGACCCTGGCCCACTACGACGGCTTTGACAGGGATTGCAGAGCAACAGACAGCATTCCGGTCTCGTGAGTCAAAGTCGGGTTGGGTTTTGCGGCTTGGGGTTCTAGGACTTCTAGGGTTTCCATCACTGAGCCCCAGCTGCAAAGAAGAGTTTAGGGTAGCAGACGAAGTTTTCCGAAACCCTCAACCTAAACCCTAACCCTTCATCTCTTTGGAGCTCAGAGGCCGCCCCAAACTTCAAGCCCCAAACCCTACACGAAACCGCAAAACTGCAAGCCTTAAACTCTAAACACTACAGCCTACATAAACCCTAAACCCTAAACTCTAAGCCCCAAACTCTTTTTGACTCAGACGCAGCGCAGGCCCCGCCGATGCCCTGTCCCCAGTTCCTGTCGTGGGAAGAGCAGGAGCTGTGGATGTTTCTTGCGTTCAGGGATTAGGGTTTTGGGTTTAGGGTTTAGGGTTTTGCCTGGATGTAAAAGGGCTTCGGGTTTCGGGTTTCGGTGTTTTGGGTTTATGATCAAGTCCCGGAATGAGGGTGGCGAGGGACTTTAGAAGGCCAAATAGATGAAGAACATTTCAGGTTCACATGACGACTGTAGTAGCAGTATACAAAGCTCCTTAAAATGCACCTTAAACCCTAAACCCCTCACCTCAAAACCCGCCATATTGCTGGTTCGTGTGGGTTCTCCATTTAAAGAAGAAGGCAAACTGGCGTGCCAAGGCACAAAGCACAGTGCTTCTGAATGGTCCCCGAAAGGAAAAACTATAACAAACTGATCGGCCTGGCCAAGGTAGCACATGAGAGTCTCGAGGAAAGCTCTGCCGTTGCCGATACCGCCGACAGCGTGCAGAGCACTTGCGCACACAACTCCTGCTTTGAATCATCTCTCTCCCCCGTCTCCCTCTCTGCCCCTCTCCCTAAACTGCTAAACGGTTTAACTTTGTATTGACTGGAACCCTAAACCCTAAACCCTGCAGTGTTTATGCGAGGCTGCTGGGCGGGTGGCAAAAAACACCCTAACCCTAAACCCTAAACCCTAAACCCTAAACCCTAAACCCTAAACCCTAAGCCCTAAACCCTAAACCCTAAACCCTAAACCCTAAACCCTAAACCCTAAACCCTGAACCCTGAACCCTGAACCCTGAACCCTGAACCCTGAACCCTGAACCCTGAACCCTGAACCCTGAACCCTGAACCCTGAACCCTGAACCCTAAACCCTAACCCTAAACCCTAAATCCTACAAAAACAAAGAGTGGCCCTCACCCTAAACCCTAAACCCTAAACCCTAAACCCTAAATCCTACAAAAACAAAGAGTGGCCACAGGGCGGCTCAGTGCCAGGACCCCATTTCTCTGGGCATGCCCGGCTCGACTTCGCGTTCGGGTGGCTTGAGCTGGAGTTCGAATCGCCTGCCTGTTAGGGTTTAGGGTTTAGGGTTTAGGGTTTAGGGTTTAGGGTTGAGGGTTGAGGGTTGAGGGTTTTTTAGGGTTAAGGGTTTAGGGTTGAGGGTGTTTTAGGGTTTAGGGTTTAGGGTCAGGAACCCTTGGTCCATGTACTTGATTATTTTTTATCAGAAGGAGAACCTTAAGAGTGTCGCCTTTAGGGTACGTATGACTCTACCTCGTAACTACTTGCGAAGCCCCCGGTCCCGCAAGTTACGCCCAAACCCTATACCTCAAACCATTCACTCTGAACTCTGAAGACTCTGAACCCTACTGTACCTAAACCCTGTACGGCCCTGTAAGCCTTAAACACCCAAACCCTAAACCCCAAACCCTCAACCCTCAGCCCCAAACCCTAAACCCTTTAAACCTTAAAGCCCAAGCTCTACGCCGAGACCCACCCCTCCCTAGTGACCTCCGAAAGCCTGTGCTGCACGGCCCGGGCCACTTCACATTCCTGGCCGTGAGACCCCGATTGCGCAAGCTTGAGCTTTAGGGTTTAGGGTTTAGGGTTTAGGGTTTAGGGTTTAGGGTTTAGGGTTTAGGGTTTAGGGTTGAGGGTTTAGGGTTTAGGGTTTACATGGTTCAAAGGGTTCAGGGTTGTACTTCTACATGTCTGCGGGTCCACCTGAGAACCATATAGTTTTCTGCCCCACAGCAGCCTACAGAAATAGTAGGCTTGGGTTTGATCAACCATGAATCTTTTTTCAGAGGGAACCTAAACCCTAAACCCTAAACCCTAAACCCTAAACCCTAAACCCTAAACCCTAAACCCTAAACCCTAAACCCTAAACCCTAAACCCTAAACCCTAAACCCTGAACCCTGAACCCTGAACCCTGAACCCTGAACCCTGAACCCTAAACCCTGAACCCTAAACCCTCAACCCTAAACCCTAAACCCTAAAGCTCAAGCTTGCGTTCGAAACCAAAGCCGGCATGGTCAGTTCTGTGGACCTAGGCCCGAAGCCCTAAGCCCGAGGAAGCCGACACCTGAAGCAGCCCACCTAGTCTAAACCCTAAACCCTAAACCCTAAACCCTAAATCCTAAACCCCTAAACCCTAAACCCTAAACCCTAAACCCCAAACCCTAAACCCTCAAGCCCCCTGTAACTTGAAATTATTAAGAAAAATCCAAAAAACGAAACTCCCCGAGACTCCTCGAAACTTTCCCCGGACCTGAACACTTAATAATTTCAATAAACCCCTTCCGTCGAGCGACAGACCCCGAACGCTCGGCCAGGGCCTTGCAGCCCGAGCGCCCAAGCGAAAAGAGAAACGGAAAGGTGTTACGACAACGTCTGTACTCGGCTAAGGGATGGCCGGCACCCAGACCACCTTTAGCGTAGCTAAAGTATAACCCCAAATCGTAACCCTTTTCTCTGGAGGTCGTTTCAGGGTTTTGGGTTCAGGGTTTGCCGGGCCCCCCCCCCCCCCCGGGGGGGGCAAAAAGGGCACACCAGGATTTGCCAGGACCTGCAATGAAAAATGCTATTTTAGTATTGAAATCGATCGGCCGCCCAGGCTAGGCCTGAGACTCGGACACAAGGCCCAGGACTCAAAGGCCTCCCAGACCAAGGCCCGGCCCAAGGCCCCCACAGCAAAGCACCCCAACCAGCCAAACCGAATGGCCCAAGACCCCCCCAGAGCACCGGGCCTTCCGGCCCCCCTGTACTAGGGTGCAGGGCCAGTCTTGGGGTCTCCGGACCCAGAGCACCGGGCTTAGGGTGCAGGGCCAGTCTTGGGGTCTTGGAGGTCGGGCTTTGAAATAGGGTCAGGAAAGGTTCAGGAGCCCCCAAATAAGCAAGGGCCTCTACGGGGGCTACCCCGAACCCCAGCTTAAACCCTAACACCGCCAACGAGGGCCTGCGAAGGCCTTCAAGTAAATAAAGGCCTCTACGGGCCCTAACGTGCCGAAGGCCCGAAAAGGGCCGAGGCTACCCCTAATCCCAGCTTAAACCCTAGCCCTGCAACTTCAAAAGTTGAAATACTCATTGGCGAAAAAACCAAAAAAGGTTTCACTGACCTTCAAATGAACAAAGGGCCTCTACGGGCCCCGACACGCCGAAGGTCCGAAAAGGGCCGAGGCTACCCCCGACTCCAACTTAAACCCCAACACCGCAACTTTAAAAAAGCAAGCGTCGGTGCGCGGTGGCCGGGGTGGGTTGACGGGCAACGCGAGCGCGCGGCCCGGGGTGTTTCGCACCCGAGCCCGCGCCCTCCCCTCACACACCCTGAACCCTAAACCCTAAACCCTAAACCCTAAACCCTAAACCCTAAACCCTAAACCCTAAACCCTAAACCCTAAACCCTAAACCGAGGCTTCGGCCACTACGGCGGCTTGGCCCCAGGCAGCAGTCTAGGTGCGCTTGCATGCGCGGTCCTGGTTTCTAAGGATAGTTGCATAGGCCCTTAGCTCCCAAGTTAGGGTCGGGTTTAGGGTTTAGGGTTCAGGGTTTAGGGTTTAGGGTTGAAGCACGAAGCCTGTTGCAAAAGGGTTTAGGGTTGAAGCTAAGGCCCAAACCTCAGTTGGAAATCCAGCACCCAAGTCACACCGAAGTCTGTCAGGCTCTGAACCCTAAACCCCAAACCCCAAACCCCAAACCCCAAACCCCAAACCTCAAACCCCAAACCCCAAACCCCAAACCCCAAATCCCAAACCCCAAACCCCAAACCCCTAACCCCTAACCCCGAACCCCTAACCCCCAAACCCCAAACCCCAAACCCCAAACCCCAAACCCCAAACCCCAAACCGGCAACCGGCCCGAAAAGCCGCCAACAAACTCGGCCCCCTGCGCAGGGAACGCGCCGGGTTTGCAGAGTCAAAGTCAGGCAGGGCTCAGAGTTTAGGGTTTAGGGTTTAGGGTTTAGGGTTTAGGAAGTCCAGCTTCAAAAAGCAGGTTTATGGTTTAGGGTTAGGTGCACCGATGCACCCTGGTTCGGACTTAGGGTTTAGGGTTTAGGGTTTAAGGTTTAGGGTTTAGGGTTTAGGGTTTAGGGTTCAGGGTTTAGGGTTTAGGGTTTAGGGTTTAGGGTTTAGGGGGCCTAAAAACCAAAAGCCCGGAGGCAAAACCCAACAACTGTAACGTTGGAACCATATGGGCCTTTGTCCCTTGTCTATAGGGATCCGAAGTATGGGCCCTTGTTATGTGTAGTGTATGTAAACAAGAGATCCGAACTAAGGGAAGAGTGGGCCCTTATTCTGTGTAGTGTAAGTAAGCAAGGGGCCCGAATTAAGGGCCCATACTTGGGTTATAGAGTTCTTAGGGGAGGGGGGTTCAAGGGGGGTAGGTACCTAGGGAGCCTTAGGGAAGCTTAGGGAGCCTCAGGGAGTAGGAGAATTTGGGAACCTTGGGTTACATACCCCTTGAAGCCCCCCCCCCCCCCCTCTAGGAACCCTAAACCCTAACCTAAACCCTAAACCCTAAACCCTAAACCCTAAACCCTAAACCCTAAACCCTAAACCCTATACTTGGGGAACCTTCGGCGAACCAACAAACCCTGCGTAAACAGAGCCCTGACTGCCTCCAGGCCGCCATGCTCTCGGCCCTGTCTGCTTTGCAGCAGCAGGAGCTTACGGTTTAGGGTTTAGGGTTTAGGGTTTCGTCCCAGGCAGGCAGTGCAGCAGTCCTAGCCGTAAAAGGGTTAGGGTTTTAGCATTTTTGGGGTCTTTAGGGCTTTTGGTTTTTTGAAGGTTGGAAGGGTTTCAGGCTTATAGGGCTTGTGGGGCTCCGTGTTTTGTTTTGCTGTCGGCCCACAACGACAGCAATTGCGAGTGTCGGAAGAAGCCTAAGCCCTAAACCCTCCCTTACACATACAATTTGAACTCCAATGACTGGTGGGCAAGTGCCTTTTCTTGGTGGGCAAGTGGTACTTTTGTGATATGGCACACACCGCAATACCCAGATTTTTCTATCTATCTATCTATCTATCACCTATCTCTCTCTCTCTCTCGATATATATATATATATATAAACCCTAAGCCCTAGGCTCTAAACCCTAAACCCTGAACCCGAATTAACCCCAAACCCGAAACCCTAAATGTTGAACGCACTTCCTTTGCAGGTCCTTCAGGTAGGTTGTTCACTTGTTTTCCTTGTTGCTCGTAGGCCCAAGCACAGTAGGGTCATGAGCACACATCTTTTAAGTACATTCACAACCTTTAGGTGCCGTAGCCCAAGAGTAGCACATAGCAAGTTCACAGACTTTATGACTTTGCTTTCCTTGTTGTGTTCGCTCGTGTAAAAAGAGTCACTCCGCATTCGTGTGAGCCATGGAAGTTGGGGGAAGTGAAACCAGGGATCTTGCAACTCCACTGTTTTCTGCCTCTCAGCCTGCTGGTTCACACCAGCAGGTTATGAGCCCAACGCAGGGCTACGGCACCGTGATGCCGCAATCATCCCAACCTCCCGGGAGGGATGGTTTGCAAGAGCATATGCATTCCGCAACACCTGATGCACCCACCGCCGGCATTGAGGGTGGTTTGGGTTTTGTGGATATGGCTGCGGGAAGGGCGCGTGCTAGTATAGACCCAGCAGAAGGCGTGCAGTATGCGTCGACCACCACTGAGGGTGGGATATTGCACGGTATGCCCCGAAGCATGCCACAAGCAGTGCAACCTCCGGACGGAAGTCCAGGACCAGAGGCCAACACCATCCTGCGTCAGGACACCTTGGGTGACGACCGTCAGGTTACAGACCAAGGTGGTGACAGGGGTTTGGGGGGCATAAGGTCAACTGGTGAGACCGCTGGAGTTGGGGGGTTCATGACCCCACGTTCACAGGGTTTGCCCGCTATCTCCGAAATGGTTGAAGGCATTCCTGGTGTTTTCATGTCGCGTGTTTCTGAGTTTTTCCGTGTGGCAAGGACTGAGGTGCAGGCCCAGTCACCACCACACCACACACGTGCAAGCCCTGGAGCAGTGTCTAGGGTGAGGGCTTTGGGAGATGGGAGTGTTGGGTCAAGTGCTTCGCCGCCGCAGCCGGACTCAATCGGCACACCCACCACTTTTGGCCCCGGGCCCGGGAGGGAATCCCCATTACTCAATGCCGAGTTGCTGCAACGCATGCAAGCGCTTGAGCAAAGGGCCCCACTCCTTTACCCTAGATCTGCAGCCCCTGAACGCCCCTCGAGCCGTACCGAGTCGTCATCGCTCCCTCAAGAGGCAATTCAAGCAGAGGTTGCCAGGCAGCTTGCAGGTTTTGAGGCTAGAGCCCAGGCGCAGGAGGTGGAGAATCAGAGGTTGAGGCAGCTACTTGAGAGGAGTGAGCAGAGAGAGAGGTCCATGCGGGAAGTAGTGTCAATGCAAGCACAGACCCCAAGTGGCCCACCTCTAGTCCCTACTGCCGCTCATGCGCATGTTGAGGCCCCTTTGCCAGCACCATCTCTTGCCCATCAGGTGCAGGATGCCACCTTGCAGGTGATGGACGCATTGAGGGCGCCTGCGTCTGCATCAGGGTTTTGGTCTAATTTGTGGTCGGGTTTGCAGGGTTCGCAAAGGTTGCCCAGCAATGCAACCCCACCCGGAAGGGCTGGGCATGTGCGTGAGCCCATGGCTCAATCTGCCCAGGTTGCACAGGTGCCAGGTACTGCCCAAGATGCACAGGTGCCAGGTACTCACAGGGCCTCTTCTGGCCCAGACCCTACTTTCCAGCCCGAAACCCCAGGTCTGGGGCAGATGAGGGCTGAAGGGGCCAATTCCGGCACAAGTCCACATTCTCGGCCCGAGAACCTGGGTTTGTGGCAGATTCCAGCAACTCCTCAGGTTTCAGGCGGTTTTGCCAGCACCGCAGGCCAAACGCCGCCCGGGAGGGTCGGGCAGGTGCCCGATACTCAAGGTCCTCAGGTTTCAGCCGCCGCTGCAGCTCCACACGAGCAGCCCGCCACGCGTGAGGTGCCAAGTTCCGTAGTGGATGCACTGGTTTTAGGGGTGCAGCAGCTGCAAAGCTTGCAAGCTCATCAGCTCAAGGTCAAAGGTGACGATGCCCCTGAAGCAGTGAAACCAGGCATCACAACACTGCCCAAACTTGTTGCCCCCAACCCGTCAGGTGGGTCGTTGGAGTTTCAGGATTGGCTTGAGTTGGTTGGTGGATTGATGAGTGATGTGTCGGATTCATCGCAGCTTTGGTGGACAAGCGTGTTGCAGTTAGCGCGTGATGCCTTTGCCCGTTGGAGCGTTTCGTCCCCCGTGGAGCGGTTGAGAGTGGCCCCGGATGACAGGACGGAGATTGTTGAGGGCAAGTGGTCGCGTGTGAATGCCAGAGCATGTGCCATGTTGTTGGATTCGTTGGACGCGTCCGTGAAGGCCGACATTGTAGCACGCAGAGCCACGCAAAATGCAGCACACATCATGTTTCGCCTACGTACGATTTACCAGCCAGGTGGGACCAACGAGCGCGACCTGATACTCAGGAACCTGCATGATCCACCACCGTTTAAGGACGTGGTTGCTGGAGTGAGTTTGCTGAGGTCTTGGGGTCGTTGGCATCGCCGTTGTTTGGAATGTGGCATGGTTGCTCCTGATCCCTCCATCTTGGCCCGTGGGTTGACCACTGTGACGTCGCAGCACATTGCCAGGAATCCAGACGTGCAGTTTCGCACTCAGGTGGTACGCAGCGCGCTGCACATTGACCTTCACCCGTCGGGAGATGAGGTTTTAGACTACCACAAGCATTTGTTGGCTGAGTTTGAAACTATGGCCGGTGGGGTAGACCCTAAGAAGGTAGATCCTAAGGTCCAGGCATTAAATGCCGCAGCCGAAGCATCAGGTGGTGGAAACCAACCTCTGGGGAAGGGTGCTGGAGGAGCAGGTGGTAAGCCGTGTAAGTTCTTTCTTTCGCCGAAGGGCTGCAGGAATGGCCCCAAATGCAAGTTTCCTCATTCCATGACCGAGCTCTCGAAAGCTGAGCGTTTCAAGAAGTGCCTGGTGTGTGGTTCTGAGGAACACCGCGCAAAGGACTGCCCATTAGGTAAGGGTTCAAAACCTGAGGCCAAAACACATGAGCAGCCCACGATGCGCAAATCCACCCCCCAGGCATCGGGCCCAGGAGGAGTGGGAGGACAGGATGCATCGCCATCAGCTTCAGCCTCATCACAGGTGCCAGTGCAGGCCACGCCCATCACCATGAATGGTCAACCTGTTACGCTAGAGTCCTTTATGCAAGAGGCAGTGAAGGCTTTGAGGCAGGTTGAGGTGAGCCCGGGCACGAGTGAAGCGCAACCGTCAAACAGTACGTCCCAAACCCAGCCAAATGCATCCCTCAAGCGCCTTGCAGTCCTTGGTTTGGGTGAAGAAAAGCCAGCTAGGAGCTCCCCCGAAACGTCCGTGCTGCACGTGCAATCTTTAGAGGTTGGGGATGGCGGGGAGTTGTTAGCCTTAGTGGACTCCGGTGCCACGCACGCCATGAGGGCAGCATCATCCCAGGAGGAGTGGGAGCAGGCTACGCAAGTGGTGGTGAGTTTGGCTGGGGAGAACACCACGTCTATGAGACTCACTGCTAGTGGCACTCTGCTTTTGCCTCCCGGGAGGGATGGCTCCGTGCAAACCATTGTGCCCATGGGCGCAATTGTGGAGCAACTTGGTTACACCCTTATGTGGTCCGCCGGCAGCTGCAAACTCCTTCACCCTGACGGGCGGAAGTTGAAGCTTCGTGTCCGCAATGGTTGCCCGGAACTTGTGCAGTCCAAGGCGTTGGAGTTGATTTCGCGCTTAGAGGAGAGGAAACTGGCGGAAATTGAGCAGCTCAAGCGCCACACCGAGGAAGGCAGGGACAGGATTCGTCAGGCCAGGATTGCGCTTGAGAAGAGTTGGTGGGAGCACTTGATGGACTACGCCCGTGATGGCGTTTCCTGCTCAGGTGACGCCGCTGTTGCAAATGCACCGTTCTTCACTGATGTTCCCCGTTGTGCGTTGCGAGGTTTGGTCCCTTCAGGTGATGCGGGCGACGAGTCATTGTGGGACATGTTGCGCAGTGCTTTGCCCAACCTCAACAGGAGGAGGAGGAAGGCGCTACAGCAGTCAAGGCATTGGCTTGTCCACTTGTTTGCAGGCCCGCGCCCTCATAAGACCTTTGCACGGCTTGAGCGTGATGGCACAGTTGTGTTGGAGCTTGATGTGACTCAGTGCGCAGCGCATGATTTGAACCGTCTTTCACTTTGGGCACTCCTGCTTAAAGCGGCGAGGGATGGGCGCATTGCAGCAGTGATTGGTGGCCCTCCTTGTCGCACTATGTCTGTTCTCCGGCATAAACCTGGAGGCCCAAGGCCAGTGAGGTCCCCTAGTGAGCCGTATGGGTTGAGCGATCTCAGTGCTAGTGAGCGTGCGTTGGTGAACAATGACACGGGGCTGTTTGCTCGGATGTTGTTCTTGCATGCAACAGCGACGGCCGGAAGGCGTGTCCATCGTCAGTCCGTGCAACATTCGTCGCAGGTGGCATTCTTACTTGAGCAACCTCAGCCTGTTGATCGCTATCTTCCTGCTGGCCATTCGTTGGTTGGTGAGGTTCCCTCGTTTTGGCACACAAACTTGTGGCGTGCATATGCATTAGAGGCAGGTCTTTTCGAAGTCGATTTTGACCAAGGTGCTCTAGGACACGCAACCACAAAGCCAACCACCATAGGCACTAACCTTCCTGACCTGAGGGGCTTGCACGGCCTCCGGAAGGAGTGTCCTACGCTGGCATGGAAAGGCGACTCAAAGGACTTAGCCGCGTGGGCGTCGCAGTTTGTGCAAGCTGTTGTTCATGCGTTGCAATGTTGGCCCCGCTACCAGCTATGCCGCATGACGCCCGAGGACTGGCAACGACATGTAGAAAATAACCACGTTCCATACCGTAGGGATTGTGGAATTTGCGTACGTGGCGCCGGCACCGGCCGTAGGCATCAAGGAGTCACACATCCCGACGTGTATTGCCTGTCTGCCGACGTGGCTGGTCCCATCAGAGTCCCTGCAAAAGACCCCGAGGGTAGGAGCAAACATCCGCCCGTGTTCCGGTACTTTTTAGCAGCGTCTTATCGTTTTCCTAAACTCCAAGGGACAAAGGACGAACCCAACCCAACGCAGGTTGATGGGTTCGATGATCCTTTACTCCACCCTGGCGGGGAGGACGAGTTAGCCGACGTTGTTGTGGAAGGCCCACCGGAGCCAGAGCACCGCCCTGACGGGAAGGATGTGCTGCCCGAGGATTGTTTAGGATATTGTCCTACAAGTGAGTCTGAAAATGACGCGTGTAAAGAAGCAGGCGCGTTACGCGTAGCAGCCGCAAAGGCCAAGGCCAAACCAAGCAAACCCAAGGAAGAACACCCTTGGGAAAGGGCCAAGTGTGAGTTTGAAGCTCCGCCAGGCCTAGCTAGGTTGGTGTTTGTTGTTCCGCTGCACACAAACAAGAGCGAGGCAGTGCTAGAGGCGCTACAACAAGTGTTCCTGGAACTTCGCTCATTGAACCTTCCTGTGCTGCGCTTCCACTCGGATAGAAGTCGGGAGTTCTTTAACAAAAGGACCCGAGCTTGGTTTCACGAGCACGGGGTGCGTACCACCACAGCTGAAGGAGATACGCCGCAGCAAAACGGAGCAGCTGAGAACACCATCCGCTGGTTAAAGGCTAGGGCGCGCACGCTCCTCGCCCAGGCCGAAGTTGGAACAGAGCTGTGGGCATGTGCAATGGCCACTGCGGCATCGCAGCAACGTGCGCAACAGCTTGGCCTCAAGTCCAAGCTTGCAGCTCCGTTTGGGGCACCGTGCTCTGTGAAACTTAAGTTTTACGGACCTTCTAGGGGTGACTTAGGGGATAGGTGGGTAGATGGTAAGTACATGGGGTTGTCGCCTTCTGTGAATGATAGCCGGCAAGGCGTGTGCGTGGGAAGTCCGAGCCAGCGCTTGGCGAGCCACCTCTGCCGCCGCCTCCTCTTCCACCGCCGGAAGGTGAGTGCGTGCCCGCACCTGCAAGTCGCACTCGACTCCGTGGGAAGTCAAGCCCTGCAGTTAGCAAGTCTTTGCTGTTCCCACTGCCTGACGGTGAGTGTCCGCCTGAGCAATGTGAAGCCGTTGAGGAGGAGTTTAGGGCTAGTCGGTTTAGTGTTGTGGACCTTGAGGGTTTCGCAAAGGAGTTACTGCTTGAAGACTGGGACCTTGAAGAGGCCATGTGGGTCTTGGTCCAGTTCAGCCGTCTGCAGTCTCTTAAGGCCGGCCTTTACCGACACGGTGGTGTAGTAGGCACCACGAGTGCAACAAACTCTTACCCCTGGCTCACAGAGCTGATGGCCGCGACGCTCCTGTCCGCAAGTCCAGAGGCCGAGTTCACGAGTCTTTGGCTTTCCAATACGAACCCCATGTCCTTGCATGCAGACCACAACAATGTAGAAGGGGGTCTGTCAACGTAGTCTTTCCACTCAAGCTCCCTCCTGAAGGCGGAGACTTGTGGGTAGAACTGCGAGCAGGAGATGTTATCTACGGCTCTGTCGAGCAACGAGTTGATGGTGCAGGAAAGAAGTGGTTGGGCACAACGCACAGCCTGCAAAGAGGTAAGCCCTTCTACTTGGACCCCAAACGCCGTCATGCTACTACCCCTTTTGAAGGTGAAAGGGTCGTGCTCGTAGCCTACACCGTTAACACCTTAGGGAAGGTGTCAGAGTCTGAGCTCCAAGCCCTCGAGTCCTTAGGCTTTCCGCTCCCTGCTTCAGCACGCTTGCCACTCACAACGCAGCAAGATGTCAGGCGCTTGGACGTGTTTGACATGTTTGAGGAGGGTCCCTTAGAGCTAGCAGGTGAAGACTGCCCGAAGAAAGTAGAGAAGGGTGGGGGTTGGAAAGAGACTCAGAAGGTAGAGGCTGGAACAGTAGAGCTAGAGGTCTCGTGGAACCTCAAGCACACTCCGGCGCAGCGCGAGCAGACACCTTGCGTTCTGCAGACCCTGGAGCCAAAACCCCACGCGCAGGTCGAGGAGGAGTCCTGGCCAGAACAGCCTGTGCAGTGGGAGCTGTGGCTTCCAGACCCCCAAAGTGGCCAGCAACTGTGTGCACTCCGGTCTGACGACCTGGACCTGCGTCTTTGCAAGTCCGAGCCAGTGTACACTCCAGACATTGAACAGCTGCTCAGTGGCTTAACTGAGCCACTGCAGATAGTTCATACTGTCGACCCGCGAGAGGCGGAAAAGCACAGTGAAGTGTGGATCCCGTCAATCCTGAAAGAGATCGGGGTCATAGAAAAAGCTGTGCACCGTTTGCCGCCCAGCGAGGTGCGCAAAGGGAACTGGCTTCACCGCACTGACGTGAGGGTTGTGCCGGCAAAGCTGGTTTTCACTGTTAAGCCTCCTGACGTGCAACCCACCGCGCCCGGGAACGGGGAGCACGCAACCCAGGCAAGCTTGTTCAAACGCAAGGCGAGGCTTGTTGCGTGTGGAAACCATGCCCCTTCCACTGGCACCGAAATATATGCGTCAGGTGCTGCAGCAGAGTCACTTCGTTGTTTGGTTGTCATTAGCTCTAAGAGGGGTTGGATGCTAGGCATCTTGGATGTAACCTCAGCGTTCCTCCTCACGCCCATTCCCCAGGGTGACGGGTTTCCTGTGTTTGCCCTAACGCCGCCGCGCTACCTTGTGCGGCAAGGTCTTGCGCAGGAGGGAGAGCTTTGGATCCTCACACACGCCGTCTATGGACTCAGGGAGTCACCAAAGCTGTGGTCAGACTTTAGGGACTCTCAGCTTCTTAACCTTAGATGCATGGCCAATGGGGTTGAGCTGCAGCTACTCAAAGGCAAGTTAGACACGAACTGGTGGCGCATCGTGCAAACCAGTGATGGTCAAGTCGTGGGAGGTTTAATCACCTACGTTGATGACTTCCTACTTGCTGGATGTGCTGCAGTCATCGAGGCTCTCGCTAAGGCTATCCAGTCGATCTGGAAAACGACGCCCCTCACACTTGCCACGCCGCACCAGCCGTTAAGGTTTCTAGGGGTTGAGATCCTAGTGCAGGGTTTAGGGTTTGTTCTGTCACACCAGGCCTATGCAGAGGAGCTGCTACGCCTCAACAACGTCAAGCCCACTGCACTGGGTAAGATCCCTTGCCCAAGGGACTTGGTGTCCTTTGACACTCTCCTGACAGATGAGTCTCCCACCGAGGAGTCAGTTCGTACAGCCCAGAGGCTGACCGGAGAAATCTTGTGGCTGAGCCAGCGAACGAGGCCGGATCTCGCGTTCACCGCTTGTGTCCTTGCTACGTTGAGCACAAAGGCGCCCGAAAGGGCTGCACGCATCGCTGAAAGGGCACTTGCGTACGTGCAGCAAACCAAAGCCTTTGCTCTCACTGCTGACGCAGATGACACGGGCTTAGTTGCGTACAGCGATGCCTCTTTTGCGCCAGATGGCAATCGCTCACACACTGGTTGGGTTGTCTTCCTCTACGGCTCTCCTGTCTGTTGGCGTTCCGCTCGGCAGGCGTTTGTCACACTCAGCACTGCAGAGTCCGAGCTCGTCGCAGGACTTGATGCCGTCGTTGCACTGCAGTCAGCAGAGGCCATGCTGGGTGAGTTTGGGGTCTTTAACTTGGGTAAGACCTTGAAGGTTGACTCTCAGTCTGCGCTTGCTATCGCCATTGGCCAAGGGTCTTGGCGAACCCGCCACTTGAAGGTGCGCGCCAACTATTTGCGAGAGCAGTATGAGGCAGGTGAGATAATCCCTGTTTTTTGCCCAGGTGTGGAGCAGGCTGCAGACCTCCTCACAAAAGCGCTTCCTGCAGCGAGGATTCTCGAGCTCGCAGCCATTTGGGGTTTGTTCGAGCACCGTCCAGAGGACCCCCGCCAAGCGGAAGCTGTGGCTGCCGACCTGCCTACCCACCCTCAGTATCCGCAGATCAAGTTGCTTTTCCTATTGCTTGCAATGATGCAGATCCAAAGTGCCAAGTGTCAGCCTGAGCTCTTTGATGAAGAGGAGGGAGATGTACATCAGGTTGAATTAAGAACGGATCTCATGTTCATGTTGCTTGTGGGTTTTGTCGGCATTGGTTTTATTGCCGTGTGGGAGCTTGCCAAGTGGTGCCTGAGACACCACTCTCTTTGCCGCATCCGCAGCACTGCCAAGCAGAGGAAATTGCAACGCCTTCGTGACCGAACGGCCCAAGCAATCGAGGCCGAACTTTCCGCACGCAGGCAGCCAGAAGCTGGAGCGCCAACTCGTTACTTTGCTGTCCCTGAGGGGGAGAAGCTCCATCGCACCAAGGACTGTCCTGCAATTGCAAGGTCATCCAATCTTTGCACATTTGAGGTGTGTCAGCGGTGCCACCGGCGTGCACCAGATCACACCACGCACAGCACAGGGTAGGTACTACTCCGCCCTGACGGGCAGGATGTGCATCGCATCGCGCATTCATGCTAGTTTTTCCCTCTTTTTGCACTGCAATTTGCAGTTTGCAGAGATGCTCGCATGCATCTCTTTATGAGCGCCTTAGGGTAGGGAACACTCTCCACCCTGACGGGCAGGACCTGCGCAGAAGTAGGAGTAAGGTAGGTCGCTGTCCCCTGGCGAGGCCGCGAAGGAGGAGTGTTGAACGCACTTCCTTTGCAGGTCCTTCAGGTAGGTTGTTCACTTGTTTTCCTTGTTGCTCGTAGGCCCAAGCACAGTAGGGTCATGAGCACACATCTTTTAAGTACATTCACAACCTTTAGGTGCCGTAGCCCAAGAGTAGCACATAGCAAGTTCACAGACTTTATGACTTTGCTTTCCTTGTTGTGTTCGCTCGTGTAAAAAGAGTCACTCCGCATTCGTGTGAGCCATGGAAGTTGGGGGAAGTGAAACCAGGGATCTTGCAACTCCACTGTTTTCTGCCTCTCAGCCTGCTGGTTCACACCAGCACTAAACGTTAAGTGTTTATAGTGTCTAGGGCCTAGGGTGTGCAGGAGCAGGAGCTGGCAGCCTACCTTCACTCGCAGCCGCCGCATTTCCACGGTGCGCAAGGCCTCCCGGCAGGCGGGCGTTTAGGGGGCCTAGGTTTAGGGTTTAGGGTTTAGGGTTTAGGGTTTAGGGTTTAGGGTTTAGGGTTTAGGGGGTAGGGTTTAGGGTTTAGGGTTTAGGGTCTAGGGTTTTTTGTTTCGGAGTGTGGGCTAAAGTGTTCAATTAGACTTCAATTAGCCAAGCGTTTTTCTCCTGTTGACAAGGGCTGTGGGCTTTCGGCTTTTCGGGTTCTGTATAGTTTTCCGATCGGGCCATAAAACCCCTGAAGCCCTCAAAACCCTAAAAGAGGGCCCTACACCCTAAACCCTTAACCCTAAACCCTAAACCCTAGACCGTAAACCCTAAACCCTACCAGGGGACCTCCTCCCAAAAGCCCTCGCGCCGACTCAGCCAGGGGGGGGAGGGGGCAGCTTTCATTCAACGCCTTGGTCCCCTCAACCACGCAAAACCCCAGAAACCCTACAACCCGTGCAGGGTTTTTAGGGTTTAGGGTGATATAACCCGATTAAAAACCCCGATAAAAAAAGCCTATAGACACCCTCGAAATACCCTTAAAAAAACCCTATAAAGACCCCCCCCCCCCCCCCGAAAAACCTTGAAAAACCCTGTTAAAAGCCTGTAAACCTCTACAAAAACCTATAGACACTCTATAAATACCCTAAGAAAACCCTATAAAGGACCCCCTTTAAAAAGCCTGTAAACCCCAACAAAACCCTATGAGCTGGCTCTGCGCGGTTGCTGAGAGCGCAGGCCAAGTAGTCATCGGCCTGCCCGGCGCAGGATTTAGGGACTACGGTTTAGGGTTAGGGACTAGGGTTTAGGGTTTAGGGTCTAGGGTCTAGGGTTCATGGGTGGTGGCATAAGTACGGTTATAAGTTAGTACACCTTACTTGAGGTAAATAATATTGCCCCTGGATCCACACATCTCGCCTCCTGTCGCTTGTGGATGTGGGGTTGGGCGGGGGGGGGGGTGGTGTGGCATCGGGATTTCAGAGACTTCAGACTCCAAACCCTCCCGGTCTTGCCTCGTCTGCTGTTCGTACGCTTTCCACTTTACATGTAGTGGCAAGAACCTTCAACTATCCCTAAACGCTTAGCCCTAAACGCTAAACCCTAAACCCTAAACCCTAAACCCTGAACCCTGAACCCTGAACCCTAAACCCTAAACCCTAAACCCTAAACCCTGAACCCTGAACCCTGAACCCTGAACCCTGAACCAGCAGGGGGCGGGCCTGGTGGCCTCGGCCCAGACCCGTCTCTGGGCCCTGGCGCCTGGCCCGGCGTCCACGGCGGTGTTGGAGGCCGAGGGGCACCTTTGAGTTTAGGGTTTAGGGTTTAGGGTTTAGGGTTTAGGGTTTAGGGTTTAGGGTTTAGGGTTTAGGGTTTAGGGTTTAGGGGTTTAGGGGTTTAGGGTTTAAGCTTGGGGTTTAGGGCTTAAGGCTATTTGAAGGTTCAGGCCCATTCTCCTTGAGAGGATTGGATTGGGGGGCGCTTAGGGAGGGAGGATTGGGGCGTTTAGGGAATTAAAGGCCTTGGGGGTTTGGGCTTTTAGGGTTTAGGTTGGGATGTTCCCCCTTATACTACTAGTCCTGAATAGGGATTAAGGTACCCCCGATTATGTTATAATCCCGATTAAGGACTCTTAGTATAAAGGGGAGCATCCCAAGTTTAGGGCTTGCGGTTTAGGGTTTAGGGTTTGGGCCTTGAGGGTTTGAGGCCTGGATGCACAGGGTTGAGGGTTAGGGTTTGGAGTTTTGGGCCTTTAGGGTAAGTTTTCACCCGCCACCCTCCCGCCCTTCCACCCTTAAAGTATGAACGGCTACTTTGACATATTTCTGCACTTCTCCTGCTTCCAATAGAGCCCTGTATCATTTGGGAATTGAATAATTTCCTCCCTTACATTTTTTGTAGCTTACCCTAAGCCCGAAGCCCTAAAACCCCCCAAACAACCCTAAACCCTAGACCCTAAACCCTAAACCCTAAAAACTAAACCCTAAACCCCAAACCCTAAACTCGACCGTTCTCCCTCCGTTCTGAGAGGCGCATACACCCCAAAGCCCCGTAAAGTGATAGGCCCCCCCCCCCCCCCCCCGCCCGTTCTATTTTTAGGGTTTAGGGCATGCACATAAGTTTTTTTTCATGGCTGCTCATATATTTTCCGGCTCTGCCCTAGACCCTGAACCCTGAACCCTAAACCCTAACCCCTAAACCCCAAACCCTAAACCCTAAACGGTTTCAGAATTCGTTGAGCGCCAAATAAACACGGAAGCCTCCAAGCTGGGCTGACAGAGTCGCTCGCGGTAACTCGAGCCAGTAGCCGCCACAGAAAGCCTAAGCAAACAAAAACCTTTAAACCCTAAACCCTAAGCCCTGAACCCTAAACCCTAAACCCTAAACCCCAAACCCTACACCCTAGACCCTAAACCCTAAACCCTAAACCGTCAGGTTATGGTCTTCAAGGCGGTGCCTTCGGAAAGGGGGGCCCGCCTCCCGTGAACCCATCTGGGCAGTGGCTTTGCTGGGTTTAGGGTTTGGGGTTGAGGCTTGAGGGTTGAAGGTTTGGGGTTTAGGGTTTCGGGTTAGCCTCAGTGGGCTTCCAAGGTTACATCGTGATCCAAGGGGGTAAGCAACCTAGAAATCCCTAACCCTAAGCCCTAAACCCCAAGCCCTCAACCCATCCTAAACCCTAAACCCTGAACCCTAAACGCCCACTATTGCTTTATCTGCGGGCCGAGGTTCAACCCCTCATCTGTCTGGTAGGTGGTGGAAGTTTTTGACACCCCTTAGACTCTTCTTCCGGGTTTAGGGTTTAGGGTTTGGGGCTTAGGGTTTAGGGTTTAGGGTTTAGGGTTAGTTTAGGGTTTAGGGTTAGGGGTTCTTGAGTTGTGGGCCACCCCAGCCCCCCCCGTGTGAGCCCGGTTAAAGGCCTTGCAAGGAGGAACCTTCAACCTGGCATTGAACCCTAAACCCTAACCCTAAACCCTAAACCCGAAACCCTAAACCCTAAACCCTAAACCCTAAACCCTAAACCCTAAACCCTAAACCCTAAACCCTAAACCCTCAAGGCCAGGATAAATAGAAATTGTATGCGTTTCAGTACGAGTAGCTCGTGTAATAATCCTTCATCCTTCTCAGTGGCCCACAAAGGCCCTATGAACGGCCCCCAAGGAGGCCCCAGGCAGGAGGCCCCAAAAGGCCCCGAAACCGCGCGGCTCCAAAAGGCCCCAAGGACTTCAGAAGGTTTGAGGAAGCCCAACAGGCAAAAAAAGGCTCCAAGGAGGTGCTAGGAGGTTCCAGGACCAAGACACACCAAAAAGCCCCAAGAAGCACAAAGGACAGAGAGGTCCCAAAAGGGTGAGTAGCTTCAAAAGCCGAACAGGTGGGGCAAGCAAGTGGGGCGAGCAAAAGCAAAAACTAGAAGGCTTCAATAGTTGAACAGCCAAAAGCAGGTGGGGAGGGGGCGAGCGGCAGCAAAAACTCAAAGGCCTCAAAAGTTCAACAGCCAAAAGCTGGTGGAGCAAGCAGGTGGGGCGAGCAAAAGTAAAAACACTCGAAGGCTTCAACAGCCGACCAGCCAAAAGCAGGTTGGGCGAGCAGGTGGGGCAAGAATTGAAAGGAGGGGCGAGCAGGAGGGGCGAGCAAAAGCAAAAACTCAAAAAGGCCTGTAAACAGGCGGGGCGAGCAAAAGCAAAAACTCAAAACGGCCTTCAAAAAGGTGGGGCGAGCAGGTGGGGCGAGCAAAAGCAAAAACTCAAAAAAACTTTAAAAAGGTGGGGCGAGCAGGTGGGGCGAGCAAAAGCAAAAACTCAAAAAGGCCTTTAAAAAGGTGGGGCGAGCAGGTGGGGCAGGTGGGGCGAGCAAAAGCAAAAACTCAAAAAGGCCTTTAAACAGGTGGGGCGAGCAGGTGGGGCGAGCAAAAGAAAAAAGTCAAAGGGGTCAAAAAACGAACCCCGAACCCTATACAATTTCTATAAACCCTAAACATATCCCTGCAGCCCTGAACCCTAAAACCGAAACCCTAAAGCCTAAACCCCAAACTTGAGCTGCTCAGGATTCCGAACATCGGGGACGCATCAGGGAATGACGTCTCCTACATGGCTCTTCACTTGTAGGTTCTTTCCGTGGCGACCCTAAACCCTAAACACGAAACCTTAAAGCCGAAAATCCTGTGGGAAGGTCGAGGGCATCGGGAAGTTAGGAGTTTTCGGCAGCGCATTTTGTGTTTCAGGGTTTAGGGTAGGGTTTCAGGGTTCTAGAATTGTTTTCGGTTTCCCCGGTCTGCAAGGTATAGTTTGGAGTCGCGGTTGTACATTTAGAGTTACTAGAAACAGGATAATATTACTGTCATTGTTGGGTGTATCTAGGCCTCCTCATAAATCTGCGTAAGTGAAGTTATTGGGTGTGGTTTTGGGATTTCTAAGTGTGCAACCCCCCGCCGCTTCAGTCACAAGTAGGGCTATATGCAAGCTAACCTACATCATATCCTTAGTTATGGCGTCTGCTCGTGAGCTCCACTGGCCAGCTGGTCTACGGTTTAGGGTTCAGGGTTCAGGGTTTAGGGTTTAGGGTTTAGGGTTTAGGGGTTAGGTTTAGGGTTTAGGGTTTAGGGTTTAGGTTTAGGGTTTAGGGTTTAGGGTTTAAGGTTTAGGGTTTAGGGTTTAGGGTTTAGGTTAGGGTTTAGGGTTTGGGGACGGTTTGCATCAGCCTGAAACTGCACTGTACGCCGGAACCCCGTGAACAATTGACAAGTCCTGTCGTTCTCTAAGCTACAGCTTGGATTAGGGTTGAGGGGTTTTGGGGCTTCCAGAGGCCTGGATGCAAAAAACAGAGGGTTCAGGGTTTAGGGTTTGGGAGTTTAGGGTTTAGGGTTCAGGGTTTAGGGTTTAGGGTTTAGGGTTCAGGGTTCAGGGTTTAGGGTTCAGGGTTCAGGGTTTAGGGTTTCGGAGTTGAGGGATTTTTGTCCTAAGCCATGCGTAGGATTCGGGGGCTTCTGCCTCAGAGGGCCTCTGTGTCCGTGGTTGTAAATTCTCGCTGGCGATGCTGGGGTTTAGGGGTTAGTGTTTCTAAACCCTAACCCTAAACTGTAAACCCTAAACCCTAAACCCTAAATCCTAAACCCTAAACCCGAAACCCTAAACCCTAAACACTAAACCCTAAACCCTAAACCCTAAACCCCCATAAACCCTAAACCCTTAAGACTCCATGCCGGTCTTGTCTGTCGTTGGGTCGCCTGAGTTTTTCTCCCCCCCACGAATCCCACGTTGTGGATCCTCGTGGATCCATGCTCATACCTGGAAGGCAGGCGTCGCCATCTTTTCAACATGGCTTTTTCCACAGCAGCCTCTTACGAGCCCCTGAAAAATGCATTGTCCCTGAACCCTAAGCCTACAGCCCTAAGCTCTAAACACTAAGCCTGCAGCTCCACGCCCCAAACCAAGATTTGGTCACTTGTGCTCGTGTTGATGGAGGGGCGTAGTCGACTGACAAGCTCTCGGTACTGGGTTGTAGATGTTCTACTTCACGGTGTGGATGCCCAGGCACGAAACCTTAGACCCTAAACCCTAGACCTCAAACCCGAAACCCAAGCCTAACGTGAAGAGAAAGGAGCGCAGTTTTTGCATACCTCCATGCCCAAGGGACACAGAGCTTCAACAACCCTGAGAACTGGTTCACCCTAAACCCTAAACCCCTAAACCCCAAACTGCAAACCCTGCATAACCAAGCACCTTATGGAATCCCAGAAAGGGTTATGCAGTCGGATGAAGTCTCTACTTCCCTCATTCCCTACTAAGAACCAGTAAGCCTGGTTTTTCAACCTTCTGAAACCCTAAACCCTAAACCCTAAACCCTAAACCCTAAACCCTCAACCCTAAACCCTAAACCCTAAGCCCCTTTAGGTTTAGGGCCTGGTTCAGTGCATGTGAGCAGGCTGAGGAGTTTAGGGTTTACGGTTCGGGGTTTGGTGAATCAAGGGACTAAAGCAGGGACCTTTGGGTTTATACCTCTTAAGTGAAGCAGTTGCTCAACATAAAGCCCTAAACCCGAAACCCTGAACCCTTATCCTTAAGCCCTAAGCCCTAAACCCTAAACCCGCGGGCTTGGAAGGCAGAATGTCTAACCTAAACCCTAAACCCTATACCCTAAACCCTAAACCCTAAGCTCTAAGCCCTAAACCCTAAACCCTGAACTTTAAACCAGGGCGAGGCAGGCCTTCCAGAAGAGAGATCCCCCCAGCGCCGCGCGTGTGAAGCCACAAAGTGCGGGTTTACACAGCAGGCAGCTTAGGGTTTCGGGTTTCGGGTTTCGGGTTTTGGGTTTAGGGTTTAGGGTTTAGGGGTTTTAGGGTTTAGGGTTTAGGGTTTAGGGTTTAGGGTTTCGGGTTTAGGTTCAGGGTTCCTAGACCCTAAACCCTGCAGGGAACTTAGTAAGCAGACTAGACGTAAGGTTGCAGTGCCTCCAAGGTGCAACCTGAGCTACAAAATGCTTATGAAGTTCCTGCGCCTCTGGGGCTTCGGAGCGCATGGTCCCTGAAGTCTCATGGGCTTGTACAAGCAGGGTTGCAAGTTACGTAGCCAAGGTTAAATTTAAGTTTCGGTCACATTTCCTACAGCCCTAAGCCTAAACCCTAAAGCCTAAACCCTAAACCCTAAACCCTAAACCCTAAACCCCAAACCCGAAGCCCTGAACCCTAAACCCAACACAAACCCATGAACTTTCGCGTAGCATCTGGGAGTTCCTCAATTTAGGGTTTCGGGTTTAGGGCTTAGGGTTTAGGGTTTAGGCTTTGGGGTTTAGGGTTTAGGGTTTGGGGTCTAGGGTTTAGGGTTTAGGGTTTAGGGGCTGACATGGAACGGGAAAGTTAGTCAGTTCCCAGAGAGTAGTCCCTTGCTCTGTTTGGAGTTTTCAGTCCCGTTTAAGCCTCTTCAAACCAACATGGCTACCCTTTCATTCCTAGGTTACTCTTGGGTTTTTCGTAGTTAACTCCCAAACACAACCCCAAATCCCCTCTGCTTGAACGTAGCTTTGCTTAAATCCCAGGCCACGGAATGTCCTTAACAAGACACACACACGCACACACAAACAGAGCGCGCGGCTCTGGACAAAAGGGGTCTCGAAGCATCCACTTGGACAGCCATGGCGGAAGACAGCGGAATGCCCAGCCCCTCTCCCCTGCATGCGGAAGCCTTTCTGGTTTAGAGCTTACAGCCTTAAACCCTAAACCGTCCCAATTTGCTTCCTCAGATGTTAGGGAATCCCTTGTGGTGACAGGTCCTCAGACCAAAAATCTCCGCTTGAGGGTTTAGAGGCTTTAGCTTTGGGGGTTAGGCTTTGGGTGTAGGGTTCAGGGCGTACCTAGAGATGCAGAAGGACAGAACATAGCAGCCGCTTGAAGAGGACACACAACAAAAGCCTCGCAAGAAGGTGTCCGCTCGGATCAGTCAAGAAAAGGTGGCTGCATAGGCCTGTCTGTTCAGATCAGAATGCAGCTGTTTGTTACGGGACAGTGTCGACACACGGTCAACAATTTTCAGATTGCATGTGCCAAGTCTTTTTCGAGCAACTCATGTCCAATACTGGTGATTCAAGGAACCCTAGACCCCAAACCCTAAACCCTAAACCCTAAACCCTAAACCCTAAACTTGGCAAGTGGCCCTGAAACCACAGCACGTGCTTTTCTCGCATGTTCAGTCGGCAGCCATTGGAATTCTTGGTAGCCCAGTGGGTTTTGGTTGATCTATTTTGGTTCTGGGATCCTTCTTAAGAACCCTAAGCCCTCAACCCCAAACCCCCCAAAAGGGTGCCCTTATTATCATATTATGGCTTCTGGGCTACCAAGAGTTCTAGGATCATCAGGTTGGGCCTTGGGCCTTAAAGGTTTAGGGCTTAGGGTTTAGAGTTTAGGGTTTAGCCACCAAGCTTGGCTTTTGTGGCCGAAAAGCCCGCAACTCCCAAAGCCAAAGCGGCCCGCATGCTAAACTCGGACCCTAAACCCTAAACCCTAAACCCTAAACCCTACACCCTGAACCCTAAACCCGAAACCCTAAACCCTATACCCTAAACCCTACTGTCGGCCTCACCCACAGGCCCCCCAGGGCTCCCTGCATCCGCCATGTCCTCGCACGAGAAACCTTCGCACAAGCTGTACCCCTCAGACAGAAAGGTCAAGACATATGAGCGACGGTTTAGGGTTTAGGGTTCAGGGTTCAGGGTTTAGGGTTCAGGGTTTAGGGTTTAGGGTTAGGGTCTTTAGAGTTGAGGGTTTATTGGGTCTTCTTATACGTTGTCTACCCTCAACCCTAAACCCGAAGCCGAAGCTTTGCATTCATGACTGCTGGAAGGGCTTTCGGTCTCCCTAAACCCTAAACCCTAAACCCTATACCCTATGGTCAGGCCGGCATAGGCGTGAAGGGCTGATGGTTTTAGAGCTGCTGGAATGCTGAATGGGACCCTGTACTACCCCGAGCCTCCCCTCAGGGTTTAGGGTATAGGATTTATAAGGGTTCAGGGTTTTTTCGGTTTAGCGTTTAGGGTTTAGGGTTTAGGGCTTGAGTCAAAAGCTTGTGTTGGGCCTTCCCCAGGGTGGGGGCGCGGCTTAGGATCCCGTGATGAGATGGTTTAGGGTTTAGGGTTCAGGGTTCAGGGTTTAGGGTTTAGGGTTTAGGGTTGAGGATTGCGTGTGCCTGTGTCGTTCGAGTCAGTCAGGCCAGAAAATACTTCGAAAGTAAACCCTAAACACCAAAAACCCTAAACCCTAAACCCTAAACCCATGAAGCAGTGGGGGTGCAGCAATTCTTGGAGCCCAGCTCGAAACCGACCAAGGGCCGGCGCGCGCCCGGGCAAGACATGGGAAACCCTGGTTTCTGCCACGAGTTCGCCTGCCTCGACCTGCTAACCACGACTTATACTGGAAAAGGGTTTAGGGTGTAGGGTTTAGGGCTATTGGGACCCAGAGTAGGCCCTTATTCCCGTTTTGTTTTGGGTTCAGGTTCCCCTATAGGGCCCGTTGAACCAACTTTTTCCTCGGTTACTTTTGGGTTTAGTATAGCCAGAATGAATCCTGATCATGGTGATGATCAGGATATTCGCAAAGAGAGCAGCGTAGATTCAAAAA